AATTCTTGATATATTTGTTTTCGATATTAAAATGATAATTATTAATTTTAAATATTAATAAATGTGTAACTTTACTTTAGATTAGGGTGGGTCTCGTGTTTGGATGAGACCTGAGATGGCACTCTTTTTTATATTAAAGCATATAAAAAAATATTTTTTAGCAGAGTTGGTTGTAAAATATCCAGATCACATCAAAAGTAAAAATAGTGATATTGATAATACTAGATTACTAATTGAATTTAATATTTTGTACCACTAGGACAATAAGATATATTTTTTCAGTACTTATAAATAGTATAAACTGTCATAACATTTAATATTATAAGTTAAAAAATTACTGATATATTGATATTCCAGCCCTTTTTTGGATATAATGGACTTTCTTATTCTCATTTTATCACAATAAAGTTAGAAATTAGAAATGTTATTTTTATTTCACTAAAATAAAATATAAGCTTATCTTCATCTGATTCAATTAAATCATTAGAGTAGATGCTCATTTCATAATAAAGTAAATTTGGAGTGTAAACAATAGATGACATATTAAAAGGTGGACGCGTGGCAAAATATGTTAAAATATGTTGACTCTGGATGTTGGCTTGAGATAATTTGTTACCCTTCAACCAACACATTTTGACATCTCCATTTGTGTTCTCTTTTTAAGTTACCACAATTGATTGGATCCGGGTAATCATTTTTAAGGTTTACCCAAAAAAATAGTAATAATTTGTTTTCATTGGAAAAAACTCACCAATATATATATGATGTTTAATTAAAGCAAATATATTTTTTCTCCGATTTTATGTGTAGGAAGAATTGGAACTTAGAATATTATTGTAATAATGTTATCTTTATTATGAGGAAAAAGACAAACAAAAATTTTAAATTATTAAATCTCAAATCAGAATTTATTACTACACTTTAATAGGTTTTGATAATATTGACTTACAAATAATAAAATATTTTATAAGAACATCTGATTTAGAATTTTGCAATTTCTATGTTTTTTTTATCATTTCCCCTTATTTATGTCTAAATATTCGAATATGATTTAATCACATAGGATGTCAAAATATTAGATAAACTTCAAACTTCATCATTCAAAAAAAAAACTTCATCTATTCTTATCATTTGAACTAGTTTTAATATTTTGTAATTCTAACTCTTAAATTAACAATATTATTTTCTAGCAGTTGGTTTGGGTTTTTAAAAGAAAAAATTGTAAATAAAGACCTCCCAATATATAAAGTTATGATTGTGACTCTAAATTTGAAAATAGCTTCAGAGGATCCAGTCTCAAATTGTAAATATTAAATCTTGGTGAAATTTCTAAAACGTCTCTTCAGCCAAATGACAAGTTGACTATAAAAAATAACAAGTTTACTTTAATAAATGACAATTTCAGTAGATCAAATCACAATTGACTGAATGTATACCAAATAACAAGTTGACTATGAGAAATAACAAATTTACTTTAAAGAATGCCAATTTTAATATATCAAATCACAATTTGGCTGAGGAGCATTTCAAACATTTCATCAAAATTTTATATTTACAATATGAGACCAAGTCTTTATTTGTAATTTTTCAAATTGAGGGTTTCAAATCCTAATTTCATATATTGGGGGTTTTATTTGTATTTTTTTTTTTTAAATAACACTTTGAAACAGGTTTTTTTAGTTTTTTAAAACATCAGAGGTTAATTTTGAGAATAACAATAACAAGGCCCTCCTGAGAATGAAAACCAGGACCTATCTGCAATTAATTGAAAAATCAGGGGTCCATTTTGGGATTTGAAAGCCCATAACCTTAGAAGCAACAAGCCGTGAAAACAACCTCCAGTGCGGGGTTGCCGTCAGAATGGTCTCATCTTACAAGAAAAGGAAAGAGGACTCAAGTGGAAATAACCACAAAGCTCAGGGCAGAGACGTAGAACTAACTCTTTTTTCTGGTTTTGCATATTAGAGAGAGAGAGAGAGTCAGCTTCTTCCCATTGTGTCTTTGTTTCATAAACACACAGCGCCTCTTCTCCAAAGCTTCCCTTGGAAACCGTCTCTCTCATCCTCCTTCTTCCTCCCTTTCTTCTCTTAATCTCTATCTCTTCATCACCTGAAGCTTTTCTTTATCTTTCTCTATATATTTGTTTGTATGGGTTACGATTTCGAGCAATTGTGACTTCGTTTTGGTTTTCTTTGAAGAGTGTGGGTTCTTTATGGCCACCGCACCGGTGAAGTCTCAGCCTCTCCACAACTTCTCTCTCCCTTTCTTGAAATGGGGCGGCAAGAATCACACTAACAGCAACCATCGGTTTCGCCGTCCTGTCTCCGGTGAGTCCTCATCGTCACAAGCTTTGCCGCCGATCACAACTCCGAACTAGAGGCAGAACCCGAAACCCGTGCTCCACGGGTCGGATCGAGGGCCTCCAGGAACCGGTTTGGGCTCTCTTCATGCTATCTCGGGGAGAAATCTCAGAAGCAAGAGCAGCAACCGCAGCCTTTGGAGGGAGCTAGCTACAATGAAACTAACGATGAGGTTGGAGGTAGAAAGAGGGAGAATGAAGACGCTGAAGACGCCGAAGCTGACGGAACGGCGCAGAAGCCATGGAATTTGAGACCGAGGAAATCGATTTTCTCCAGAGGTACGGGTGAGATCGGTGTGGGAGGTCCGAGGAATGGAGAATTGCCGGAAAACGTTTCATTCGCTGCCACGGGTCATTCGGCTCAGCAGAATGAGAACCCTCCACAGCCGAAATCGCTTCGCTTGAGGGGTTACGCTGAGATGCAGAATACGGAAAGAAAGGAGAAGAGGAAATTCTGGATCGCCTTGTCGAGGGAAGAGATTGAAGAGGACATATTCATTATGACTGGGTCAAGACCCTCTCGGAGGCCAAAGAAAAGGCCAAAGAATGTGCAGAAACAGCTCGATGTAAGAGTTTCATTTCCTTCAAGTTTTTTGGTTTCTAATCTCTGTTACATCGTACACGCGTTCAATTATCTTCTTACTTGATTGTAATTGTACAGTTTCTTAAACAAAGAACATCTCTTTTTAAATTTCAGAGCGTTTTTCCTGGATTGTGGTTAGTGGGGTTCACTGCAGACGTTTGCAAGGCGGCAGATACTGCAGCAAAGGTTCTGTCCTTTTCTCTCGTTCTCTAATATTTGTGATCGATTCTATACTTAATATAGTTCTTCGAAGTTATAGGGATTGTTGACCTCTGTTTACTGAATTTCCAGTAGCAAAGTATGCCTCCAGGCTTAGGATTCTGAACTGGATTTCGTGATTGATCTTATTTTAGACTTTTAGCTTATAATCCGTTAGAGCGATGGTTATGATTATTTGATGATGGCCCTTTCTATCAGAAGTAGAGAAGCTACAGCGAATTGCAGTTTGCCAACAACACAGTTTGGTGGCCGCGGTAACTGGGACCTGTAATGGAGGTATAAATGCGCAGAATTTTGTAGAGCGCAAAAGATTTGCGAAATGGGTATGTTGAAAAGGGGGGAAAATTGGGATGATAGCTATTATGTATCGTCCAATAGGCTAAGATGTAGATTGAAAATTTAGTAGGTTTACTTATCCTAGTAGTGTTCAACTGTTTATCTATTACTATTAGGCAGTAAGAAAAACTTGTGAATTCATAGAACGAATCCAATATTGATTTTAAGATCGTTTGATTGATGTTTTGCTGTTGGGATCATCTTTGATTGAATGAATTCTGAGTCATCAGCTGCTAGATCAGTAGCAAGCATACTGTTAGTTTGCGGGTCCCAAGATCAATGCTGGATTTATTATTGAGGGCACTGCATGATTCTTAGTGAGTTTGAAGATTAACAGAAAGAGTGTTTGCTTTCCCTTTTATATTTCCATGACCATAGGCTTCACTTTCAAACTGTGAATCTGATGAAGTTGCTCTACTCAATCTGGCATTGGTATTTGGTAATCGTAGAAATCAATCACTTTGCATGAAAACACGAAAGTTAATCACATTGGCTGAAATAAACTTTACAGCAGTACCGAATTATTCTTGTTCTTCTTTCCTACTAGTAATATCTACATATTGTCCCTTTTTTTCCAAAAAGGAAAAAGTATTTGGTGGGGCACTAGGTCAGTATATAAAACTTTTGAAGATAGACATGTTGCTAGACTATTTGCTTTTCCTCCGTATTTCTTCCATGAGATCAGATCTGCTGTGCAGTTTGTGACTCAACTGATTTCTACTTCTTTAAAAACTTGGAATTACTTGTATTATTTGATATGTATTGAAGAGGAGTCAAGCTCAGGAAGATTAGACTATTAAATATTCATATCAATGGGGAAGTTTTGTTACCAAGTTCCTTTGGTTTGCCCTGCTACCTTCACCAAAGGTTGTTTTCCAGTCTTATTCAATTTGCCTTCATTGAGTCATTCAGCACCAAACTTAACTTTTTAAGGGCTTAATGTCGGCTCCATGGTTGATAGTATGGAATTTTTCGTGATTCTATTTCTGCGTTTTCGCATGTTTGGCTTATGGCTTCTTTTGTGCATGGAATAGAGTTTTTGATGATATGCCACTTGTGTGTTTCACCTTGTAATGATAAAGCATGGAGAGGCCAAAAACATGGCTCTTGTTGCTGCATCACCTTAGCCACTGAAGTACTATACTTTTGGGGAATGCGTGCCTCATCACCAAAGTACTATATTTGTTATCCTGTATCCAGTAGGAGTTAGCAGCATACCAAAGTTTAAATCTTATTAGGAGAAATATTCACGTTTTGTATTCGATAGTGTCTCAACAATATTACCTACATATACATGGCAAAAAAAGGGAAAAAAAAAGTCAGATTTAAATATCAAGAAGTCTAATAGAAAAAGGATCTAAAAATGAAGTATTAAACATTTAGCCTTATTCAAGAGAAATTGAGTTATATTCTTCTCACCCGATTATCATTATTTTTGTACTGTTCTCTTTTGAAACAATTTACTATATATAAACACATTAGGAGAATAGGGTGATGTCCTACATCAGAGGATAAAACAGTATGGTGGTTGGTTGCCTTTATTTTTGCATTTCTTGATGGTCCGAATGGTTAAAATTGGCATTAGGAGAACAAGTGGTTGGGAAGGAGATATTTTTTCCTTGTAAAATTGTAAAATGCCTAACACCCGTTATATCTCTAATATAATAAGTGAGGGACTAAATTTACATCCTTTCTTTTTGGGTGAGAAATTTACATCCATTTACTTTTAGACATTATGTCTAATTCTTCAGTCATTTAAGACATGAATTTTTTTTTAACTAATAAAACTTTATTTGGATAAACTTAGAAAACTTTGTTAAACTATCGGTAATAATAATGACAAAATATAATTAAAGAATTGAACCAAATAAACACTCCTTTAGTTTTATTTATAAGGCACAGAAAGGAGATATTTTTTATCCTATTTATAGGACACTAAGAAAAGTTCTTTATATAAATGTATAATTTTATCCTTTATTTATTATTGTGTTGACTTTTCTTATATGAGATATAATATATATTAAACAGGGATAAAATTAAAAAATTGTTAATTTTAAATAAGAGTTAATGAAGTTTAAAATTTTCTTAATCGGTGTAAAATATGTTAAAAGTGATTTATAAATAAGATCAAAGGAGTATAGGTGAATTGACTTAAATTTCATAGAACAATGATGCTTGTCATTATTATTTTTTGTTTGTGTATATATAAAATGTATTGATCATAAACATGAGTTTTTTAACTATCATCTTTCTATCTTCTATTTTTGAAAAAAAAAAATTATATCACTGGCATATGCACTCATTTCCAACCAAAAATCTAGGTTGGTTCAACTGAAGAGATGGGAGAGGGAGTGCTTTAAGGACTCGACTTCTTTCCCTTATCCTTCCCTCTACTACCCCTCCTCCACTTCCTTTTCCTCCCTTTATTATCATTGTATTAAAATTTCAAAGGTTCAAATGTAATATTTTATGAAAATATTATTACAAGTTTACTTTAAAAAATATGTAAATCAATTTTAGCTGTTAAAATTTAATCTAAATTTCATCCTAAAACCTCAGTTTGGAAAGGAGGGCCATGAGGTACGGGGAAAAAAGATGAAGTCTTGCCTCCCCTCCCCTTCCCTCCTCCCAAAAGTCCTAAATGCAACCGAGGCCACGGTAAGGCAATTTTTTTTTTTGGGGGGGGGGGGGGGATGGACCAAAGGAAAAGCCTTAGTTATGTGAAAGGGGTCGATGGTGGATCACTTAATATATATATATATATATTGTTTACTTAATATATTGGTTGACAGAGCACGATGACGTCGTGTGATTCATGTAGCCGACCCCACGTAGTGGGATAAGGCTTGTTGTTTGTTTGTTTGTTTATAAAAATAAGGTCTAACGGAAGATATTATTTTCTCACAACATAAAAAACTAATAGTTTAAACTCTTATTAAAAGAAGTGTTTATATTTAGTGTACAAAAACATCTTAGCCTCTACCTTTTTTTCTCCAAAATGAGTGAGACAAAAAAAAAAAAACAAATACAATTGGTTTATAGGCACGCTTATAATATGTAAAATTATTTTAAAAATGCTTTATTAAACAATGTAGAAGATGTAAGCTCAACTTAACCATAGAGCACATGAGCTTTTTATAAAAGTTACAGTTTGGGCGTGCCAGAGAAAGTGAAGTTTCTTCCCACTTTATTTCGGTTGAAGCATCTTAGCCTCGTCACACATTGGGAAGCTTTTTGTCTTATGCTAGATACCTTACCAAACTGCGGTGGGCTGCAAGCACCGTTAGGGAAAAATAAGGATTCCGTGCTTAAATATTTTGGAAGGAGTCACAAAAAAACACCTAACACTTAAAAAAGTTTTTTCAGCTTTTATATATCTTAAAAAATTTTATTTTATAGCATTTTTTATGAACTGTTATCCACCATTAGTTTTGACTTTAAAAACACTAGTCAAACTACCTAATTTAACAGTTAAAATCAATGATGAATAACGGTCAGGATATTTTTGTTATGAAAATAACTTTCCAAAGCATATAAGAGCCAAAAAAATTTCAAATGTTGGATGTTCTTTCGTGGATACTTTCAGAATATTTAAACACATTATTCCAAAAATAATAATAACGAAAAATTAATTTGCAGGATATTATGATTTCAACTGATTTTTAATAAGGTATATATTTTTAATCAGTCCTTATAGTTTTATTTGATTTTAATCAGATTCTAGTATTTTTCCTATTTATCATCTTCATAATTTCATACAATTTTTAATTAAATAGTTGTATTTTAGATAACTGATATATATATCTATATATTGATGTTATTCTTTTATTTGCTGGATAGTAACACACAATATTTGAGCATATGTTTTGATTAATAATAAGGGGGAAGCATTTAAATTCAATTTCATGTATTCAAATAAAACAAAATTCAAATTCCCTCCGGCTTCGGACAAAGTTGCTGTGGATGCGGTGTTGTGTGCCACGTCATCACAAGGCTGAACTATTGAGAAAGGGATTGAAAAAATTACATTATCAGGCCCACGTCTTAATAATTTCCAATTCCAACCACAGCACACGATGTAATTAAAAAGAAAAAGAAATAAAAAAAAATTAGTATAAAACGATGCTATCAAGACTTTTAACTCATTTAATTAAGTACCTATTGTTATTATATTTACGACACTTATTAAGTTCTAAAATGTTATCAGATTTTATGAAAATTATAAGGGGAATAAATCTGATTATTTTTACCTTTACAACCAAATTTAAATTTTAAGATCTTCAACTTAAGATTGTAAGATTTAATTCTTAGACATTTTTTCGAATGGAACTAATAAATTCACTGGTAAAATAATTACTAAACACTATAAAATTTTTATAAAACACAAGTTTCTATAAAATAAAAAAAATTATACTATATACGTTTTGGTAGACCATTTAAATTAAAAACCATATTTAATTGAAAAATAAAACATACTTATCTTTACTTAAGTTAAATTTTTATATTTTCTATTCAAACAAGCTAAACTAATTCCATGGATATAAATTTAATCATGGCCAATTTCAATTTCAATTTCAATTTATATGGAATCACGAAATCTTTGTCACATCAATTTCCCGAAGTGGGCCTGTTCATACACAAATCTTTATTCACACACAAATGCTCGCAGATAAACAAATGACAGCGACTAGTTTTTTCAAATCAGGGCCTGTTTGGTTAAGAAAAATGGGCCCTTGCGGCTTGTGAGAGATATAAATGGGCCTCAAGTGGATCAGAGTATTCAATTCTCATTCTTTTTGGGCCTTCTTCTTCTTCAATTTTTCGGCCAACCGGCCATCTTTTTCAGGCAATGTATATCAGGCCTCTTTGTTTCCTGAGGCCCATCTATTGCTTTACGTTTGAGCCAGGCCCAACATAAGGCAGGCATTCCAAAACGGGACCATGGCTTGCAAAATGCATCACGCAGGCCCAACAATGTAGGCCTGGGCTTGATCTTGCTGGGCCTTCTGTCAGGC